TAGGTTGGAGGTTATTTGTATATCCTGCCAAGGAATAATGTCAACAAATCATTCAATACATGCACTAAAAATGCAGTCAGAGTCAGTGAGATTTTTGGAAGCACATTATTTCAGCAATTAAATAGGAGAAGCATAAAACCGGCATTTCACATTTTGTGCACGCTAACGCCTCCTCTTTTTAAATGCAACTTCTTCAAATGCAACACCTTCCCCCAATCCCTACCGAAAGGCCTCAAGATGAATCACCAGTAAGAAATATAAAAAATAAAATAAATAAATAGATAAGAATTCTGTTACTGAAGGTTATGTTTATTTATGTATTTATTTTCATCTAATCTTTGCTTCTTCTCAACTTCTGAAGTAAGGTACATATTACTTCATATTTCCAAAGTATCTATATCAAACATTCATAAAAGTAATTTTGTAAGTCCAAAAATGTTGAATGAGACTGAAATTTTGTTTTTTTTTCCTCAGATGAACAAGACTGCATTTCACCAACAATCCCCAATGGACATAACAGTAAAAACTCAACTTGGTATAAGAACGAAAGCGTATTAAGGACAAAATGTAACAGCGGATATGAACACAAAGACCGAGTCACAACAGCCAAATGTGTAGATGGAAACTGGTTGTCTTTGCCCATCTGTCAGAGTAAGTCTGGCAGATATGTTACTTGAGAAATAAAAAAGGAAAAAAAAACAGTTCATAGGTTTCCATGTCTAAATCCTGAACCACGTTCATCATCTGCAACAACCAAGTAGTTATTCATAGGGGCAGCTTTTCCTGTTCCTCTTCATGATTTGTTTTCTTATTTACAGAAAGTACCACTGCATGCGGCCAGCCCCCTAAAGTCCCTCATGCCGTAATAATTCATCAGAGATACCAGGAGGTTTTTCCTGCAGATTCAGAAGTGCAGTATAAATGTGAAGATGGATACGCTACAGAGGAAGCATCCAGCAGCAAATCCATCTATTGTATAGCTGGGAACTGGGATGAAGTCCCAACATGCAGTAAGTGGACAATGTGCTGAGATATGCAGGGATGAAAATAACATTTATGAATTGGTATTAAAGTGGATATTATCAATATTTATATATTAGCAATGGATCACATGACATAAAAACATGATGGGAAAAATGATTAACCATTATGGAAGAAATGCACAAAAACAACAAGGTGGTATGATAACTAACCATAACTAATAACTGGTGTGTTCACTGTCTCTTATAGCATATTCTAGCAGGTCTGGATCAAATACAAAAGGGAGTCAAACTCAAATCCCAAGTAAATAACTTAATTTCTCCTTATACATTGTATAATGTACCAGTTAATATCTCAACCAACAAGAAACTTTTTTGTTTTTTCTATTTCAGTCAATAACTGTGGAAGACACCCTACCATAGAAAATGGTGACGTTGTGGAAATTGCTGACATGTTTTTGAGATTCCGCTGCAATAGTTTTTACAGACGAGTGGGTCCAGAGAAAGTGACGTGCGATACAGATCGCACATGGTCAGATGAACCCATGTGTGAAGGTATAAACAAGTCAACCCTACTAACTTTTATTTCAATGGACTGCCCATGAGGTTGGTTCACGAAAAAGTTAACAAAGTGTTGTTCCTTGTGTGCAGCTGCCTACTGTTCTTTGGACACTTCTGAATATCCTGACTTAATACCTGATGGAGTTAAATTTATAAAAGATGGTGACAGAGTGGAATTGAAATGTGTGAAAAAACACTGGCGCTGGGTGACAGATCATTACTCTTTGGTCCAGTGCATTAATGGAAAAGTTAAGTTAACAAAATGTAAGTATCACTTTAAGCTCTTTACATTAATATGCCATTGACAGAAATACAGTAGTATCATGATGAACCGCGAGGAAAGTGACAAGGTTTAAATATTAGTGTGATCCTTACAGGCTAATAAAGGATTTGTTCCCAGGCTCAGCTCTGGTGTACGATTAACCTTAGCCTTAAAGGAATTGTTTTGACATTTTGGGAAATACACTTATTCACTTTCTTTCCAAGTGTTAGATGAGATGATTGACACTATTTTCATGTCTGTACTCTAATATGTAGCTTGAACCAGCAGCTAAGTAGCGTAGCTTAGCACAAACACTTTCAACAGGAGGAAACAGCACCTGGGTTTGTCCAAAGGTTTATAAAATCTTCCTCCCTGAACCTCTAAAGCTCTCAATGATCACTTCAATATATTTGTTTGATCCGTACAACAAACAAAGTGTAAAAACAACAACTTGTAGTTATACAGGGATTTATGTGCTGGACTATATTTGGCTGAGATTCTCTGCTGGTTGCCAGGCAACCTCAAGGTGATGACCAGAGAGCTGAAGTCATGACATCATACCTGGGCTAGCGTCTGTTCCCCTATAGCTTCTGTATCTAAATGCTATCTCTCATTTAGCATTTCTTCCATCATTTTCTCTGAAGTGAAGTGTGTTTCTGGGGTTATTATTATTATTATTATTATTATTATTATTATTATTATTATTATTATTATTATTATTATTAGTATTAGTATTATTATTATTATTAGTATTATTATTATATTCATGGCTGTACTTCTATATGATTATTTTTAGGTTGTGGCTATTTCGAAAGAAATACGGTGAGTGTTATTCCTTGCATTTATGATTATGTATTTATAGTATTTGGTTTTTTTTTATTATTAGTGTTTATATAACTATTTATTGTCTTGTGACCAGAACACTTGCTGGGGCCCTATGACCGAGTCGTCTTAGGATTTGATCACCACTGACTGAAAACGACTGCCAGCCTGGAAACTTAGTTATGGTGATGTCACACAATGTGTTGAGTTTTTCAGAAACTGTTTCAGGCTTCTCATTTTGATATATGAATCCCTGCATAATGTAGTAGTACATTTTTGTCTGTATGCTCAAAGCCACAAAAATGACTGGCGGATGGCCTGAATAAAATCTCAACACTAATCTGTATAGAATTGTGTTTCTAGAGTTTTTTGTGTCATCAAAAAAACAAAACAAAACAAAAACCCTGCTTATCCTGTTCAGGATCACAAGTGGCAGGTGGCTTTCCCAGGTGGACCACATCCTGGACAGGCTATCACTTTGTCACAAGACTAATGACTCACACAGATTGATTAATTAATTAATTAGTGGTGAATTCTGTGATTGCTGTGACACAATTAAAATCCACCCACAACACTACCCCTGGATGCAACCGATACTTTATTGTACTTGATTTCTTGCCATTCAGTTTTACTGTTTCCGTTTGTTTATCCCCTCCTTAGTTACTAAAAATAAGTAATTTCACAATTAATCACATTTCATAGGATTATATGTCTGTATTCAAATTAAGTTTCTTGCATATGTACATGACTACATCAACTTCTAATATCTAATCATTGTGCTCATTTATGCTAAATGGGTTAAAAAATAATCACCTCTCTATGTTTATTTTGCATTGCACAGTTACAAACCTAAAGATTTTGAGTATAAATCAGGTAACTGTGTGAATCATTGTGGTTCCACAAAAACATGTGCCATTGCACATGTAAAATGTGATGACTGCTGAGCTTTGAAGATGTGAATTCAGCTGTAAATGAGACATAACTTCATTTTGGCAGTGTATATTTACATTTTATTGCTTAAATATCCTCCCCAGGCATGTTTTCATATACTCTGCTTTGAATGATAACTTGTGTCAACAAATTTAGTGGCAGATATAAGTAATGCATTCATGTTGTAAATGAGATTCTGACTGTGAATATTTCAGGTTTAATGTATGTAAAATTCTATAAACCTTCAGTGACTTGACCAAAGATAGGTATTTGCTCTGACCAGCGTTGCTCTTACATTGTGCTAAGTTGTCATTTAATAGATCATTGGATTTAAACATGCTGCCAACATGCATGTTAATTACTTGGTGTCTTTTGTTTGATACCATACAATGTCTCCATGTTGAAACAGGTGTAAGTATTTGCATTGTTAAAGTCAAGTTTGATTTGTGAGGCATTGTAGGTGACTGTCATTCAGTGACCAATGGTCAGAAATATTGTTGTTTTTAGACATTGTGCTCATCCAGAAGTGATGAAGACAGACTCAGCTGGATAAATAATTAAACTAGGGGAGGCATAAAACTGACCTGAGATCACAGCAATCCGGGAAATCATTTTGAAATTTGAACTCTAAATAATAATCAATCAATAATATTTTGTTGACTGTTGCAGAGCAAATGACCCTCAGATAGTCTGGTAGCTCTTCTCCAGGGACAAATTAATCATTATCATAGACCTTTCCCAAACAAATTTACAAATGTGGAATTAATACAATAAACATAAAAACTGTGTCAGTCTTTGAAATATGAATAAATTTATGTTATGCAAGGTCAGGAAGCAATGCTGAACACAAAACTGACGTTTGTTAGCAAATTCATTTAAAAGAGATTCTTTTGCAAAAGTGACTGATCTGAATGTGGAGCCTTCCAAACGCTGTCTTTCTTATCGTAACAATCATTTAGATTTCTAAACAAATTTCACTAAAACTGCTTGTGTGAAGCCTATGTTCTTATTGTAACGCTGGTGACTCTTACGCTTGTTAACTATAAACTAAGTTCTTACTGAATCCATCTACATTTGGGTCGTGGGTAGATCGATGACTCAGTGACAGCTTTCTTCTGGCTAACTTCATCCACTTTAATGTCCGCTCCCACAGAAGGACAACTGAATACCACCAACTGTCATACACCACATCACTGCCTCACATCATATCAAAATAAATCTTAACAGAAATAAATCTCATCTTACACTATGTTTTGTATGCATTAAGAAAATGAAAAAGTACTACAACTTAGAGTGTATGCATGTTTTTTCTCCTTTTCTGTGTTTATATTCGATCTGTAGCCCTTCTTGCTTTGGCCCTACACCAGCAACATGATGCTTGAGTGTTTACTCTAAAAACTCTTGGGTGGGGGTTCCTGTCAATATTAACTAACTGCTGCTGATCTGGACTATAGTCTTAGCTCTGCTTTGTTTTGAGATCATTTGAATCCTGACAAAATGTGCATCAGATATTTTGGATTTCTTCTCCTGATTTGGTTTCCTGACGCGCTTCATGGTGAGAAGATCGAATACTTTCACATACGATCAATGAAGTTTGTAAAAAACACATTTATTCTAGAGTAATCTTGCATATTGTTGTGTTTCAGCACAAAATCCATCACAGTCCTGTAGTGCTCCCAGACTGGACGATGGTTTCTCTTCCCCAAAAGTGGCTTACTCTCATGGAACAATGCTGAACTATACCTGCAATGACGGACTTAAACCAGTAGTGAAGGTTTGGTGGGCCACAACCACATGTGAAAATGGCAAATGGTCTCATCAGCCACAATGTATAGGTAAGTGTTCCCTAAATACATCTAATGTTCTCTTTTTTTGCCATGCTGCATGGCTCTGCAGTTGGCACCGTTAGCATGTTGGTCCACGGGTCCACAACTTTGCGCCACACTGAAATATCTCAACAGCTATTGTTTGTACTGACACAAAATGATGTTCAGACATTCATGTCCCCTTCAGAATGAATTGTAATAACTTTGGTGATCCCTGACTTCACATCTAGAGCTACATCAGGCCAAAACTTTAACTTTTAGGACAATAATTTGCTTTATAATCAGCTGTACTTTGTGTTTAGTGCTAACTAGCAAATGTTAGCATGCAAGTGGTGAACTAACAAGCTAAGATGGTGAACATGGTAAACATTATACATTATACCTGCTTCACATCAGCATATTAGCATTGCCATTGTGAACACATTAGCATGGGGACCTTAGCATTTAGCTAACCGCATCTAAACACCCTACAACCCTGAACAACATGGTTGTAGACTTTTAGATTTTTGTTTTCATTATGCTACAGAGCTGCTTCTTGATTTTTCATGTCAACATAGTTGTGAAACTTTTGAAAGAGTAATGTCACCTAATATTTAATTATATGAGTCTGTAAAGTAAAAAATTATTTAGGCCTAAAAATGATCAGCAAAAGCCAATATCCCACAATCTAGCCGTTACAAGGAATATAACAGCTGGTAAATGCATAAACACTACAGTGACAAACTATAGCACACAGTAATCTATATGTTAGCACATGTAAGGAAATGTGCATTTGGGAACATTTAGTATCCCTCCATGATTAGTGTTTTAACAGATAATACATGGTTTATAACACATTGTGACATACAGTAAGGAACTAAAATGTGTAGCTACAATATGTAACGAAAGTAAAAAGGCAGGTAAAATAAAAGACGACAGCAGCTTAAGACACATTTCAGAAATTGATCAAGAGTAGAAGAGGCATAAGAATGGCAGCAAACATTTCTGACTGAAGATACAGCCAAAAAGTGTCTTAATATTAACTCAGATTTCGACTGTTAGATTGTCTATAAGCTTGTTGGTGATACCAGCATATCCACTATACTTTGAGTGTTGATTAAGGTGCATGAACTTGTTTTGCTTCAACTCCAACAAAAGCTTTTTAAACTTTATAACATTGAGACAATTTTCAAACATAAAATGTCTTCCAGGAGCAAACATCTGTAGTTTTATTAACCTTCAAAGAAGAAGACATTTGAGATCATTTATTAAACCATGTGTGATAGGATTTATGGTAACATTGGGAGTTTAGGAAGTATCCCATTCTTTGTCATTAAATAATAAAGGATGTCATTAAAAGTATGAAAATGTTGCCAAACTATGGTCTTGTTCTTTCTTTTATTTCTCAGATATAAATGCCTGCATTCCTCCAACTATCCCCAATGGATATTACCGTGAAAACTCAAATGGTTGGTATGAGGAAGGCCACATAATACGGATAAGATGTGAACAAGGATATGAACACAGACACCAGATTGCTACAACCAGATGTATAAGTGGAGAATGGTCGTCTTTGCCCATTTGTGAGAGTAAGTCTGTCTATTGTTTACTGTTTGTTTGTAGAAAAATCACAATAGTAGGAATAATACCAATTTAAATGCTTTGGGGTCATCTCTGGTCACATGAGCATTTTTAATTATTGATTACTTTTCTTATTTACAGAAAGTATCACTGCATGCGGCCGGCCCCCTAAAGTCCCTCATGCTGTAATAATTCATCAGAGATACCAGGAGGTTTTTCCTGCAGATTCAGAAGTGCAGTATAAATGTGAAGATGGATACGCTACAGAGGAAGCATCCAGCAGCAAATCCATCTTTTGCATAGCTGGGAACTGGACTGAAGGTCCTATGTGCAGTAAGTGTAGTATGTGCTGAGATATGCAGGGATGAAAATACATTTTATGAATTGCTCTTGAAGTGGATGTTATAAATATTTATATTAGTAACAGGTCGCATGGGAAAACAAATTCAAAGTAGTCTAATAAATTAACATTTTATGAGATACGGTCACAAGGTTAATTCTTTCTTTTATTTTTAAAGCTGATGTAATCACCATTTCTACATAAATGATTTGTGAAAGGTATCATTCATAGTGAGAACCCCATAAAGAATTATAACCTGACAGTATTACTCACTAAAATACTCACTAGACTTTGAGGTTTCATATTTGATATGAATGAAGACCATAATATTTTAAATGTTAATGTCACTCACAGAATTAAATTTCCTCTACCAAGAAAGAACATGCAACTTTCAAATTTTACAAAGAATCATGGGAAAAAAGTTGAGACATTCTGGAAGAAATGCATAAAAACAACATGGCGGTATGATATCTACCTCATAACTAATAACTGGTGTGTTCACTGTCTCTTGTAGGACCTTCTACCATCTCTGGATCAAATGGGAGCGAGATTCAAACTCAAATCACAACAAGTAAATAATTACATTAATTTCTCCTTTTACGTTACATGTTCCAGTTGATATCTCAACCCACCAGAAACCTTTTTGTTTTTTCTATTTCAGTCAATAACTGTGGAAGACACCCTACCATAGAAAATGGTGACGTTGTGGAAATTGCTGACATGTTTTTGAGATTCCGCTGCAATAGTTTTTACAGACGAGTGGGTCCAGAGAAAGTGATGTGTTTTACAGATGGCACATGGTCAGATGAACCCATGTGTGAAGGTATAAACAAGTCAACCCTACTAACTTTTATTTCAATGGACTGCCCATGAGGTTGGTTCAGGAAAAAGTTAACAAAGTGTTGTTCCTTGTGTGCAGCTGCCTACTGTTCTTTGGACACTTCTGAATATCCTGACTTAATACCTGATGGAGTTAAATTTATAAAAGATGGTGACAGAGTGGAATTGAAATGTGTGAAAAAACACTGGCGCTGGGTGACAGAGCATTACTCTTTGGTCCAGTGCATTAATGGAACAGTTGAGTTAACAAAATGTAAGTATCACTTTAAGCTCATTACATTAATATGCCATTGACAGAAATACAGCAGTATCATGATGAACCGCGAGGAAAGTGACAAGGTTTAAATATTAGTGTGATCCTTACAGGCTAATAAAGGATTTGTTCCCAGGCTCAGCTCTGGTGTACGATTAACCTTAGCCTTAAAGGAATTGTTTTGACATTTTGGGAAATACACTTATTCACTTTCTTTCCAAGTGTTAGATGAGATGATTGACACTATTTTCATGTCTGTACTCTAATATGTAGCTTGAACCAGCAGCTAAGTAGCGTAGCTTAGCACAAACACTTTCAACAGGAGGAAACAGCACCTGGGTTTGTCCAAAGGTTTATAAAATCTTCCTCCCTGAACCTCTAAAGCTCTCAATGATCACTTCAATATATTTGTTTGATCCGTACAACAAACAAAGTGTAAAAACAACAACTTGTAGTTATACAGGGATTTATGTGCTGGACTATATTTGGCTGAGATTCTCTGCTGGTTGCCAGGCAACCTCAAGGTGATGACCAGAGAGCTGAAGTCATGACATCATACCTGGGCTAGCGTCTGTTCCCCTATAGCTTCTGTATCTAAATGCTATCTCTCATTTAGCATTTCTTCCATCATTTTCTCTGAAGTGAAGTGTGTTTCTGGGGTTATTATTATTATTATTATTATTATTATTATTATTATTATTATTATTATTATTATTATTATATTCATGGCTGTGTTTCTATATGATTATTTTTAGGTTGTGGCTATTTCGAAAGAAATACGGTGAGTGTTATTCCTTGCATTTATGATTATGTATTTATAGTATACTGTTTTTTTTTTATTATTAGTGTTTATATAACTATTTATTGTCTTGTGACCAGAACAATTGCATTGGCTCTATCACCAAGTTGTCTTAGGATTTGATCACCACTGACTGAAAACGACTGCCAGCCTGGAAACTTAGTTATGGTGATGTCACACAATGTGTTGAGTTTTTCAGAAACTGTTTCAGGCTTCTCATTTTGATATATGAATCCCTGCATAATGTAGTAGTACATTTTTGTCTGTATGCTCAAAGCCACAAAAATGACTGGCGGATGGCCTGAATAAAATCTCAACACTAATCTGTATAGAATTGTGTTTCTAGAGTTTTTTGTGTCATCAAAAAAATCATCGCCCAAAAGCAATCCAATCATCAATCTATTATCCATACTCACTTAACCTGTTCCAAGTCACAACTGGCTGACAGGTCACCACTCTGTCACACAGCTATGGACATGCACATATTAACTCAGTTCTGGTTTTATTGGGCATTGCACAAAATCTGGGAAGACTATTACCATTGTTTCTTTTCATCTGATTATTCTTTGTCTTCTTACTTTTCTCAGCAAAGTGTTTGTGCAGCAAAGTCTGTCAGAGCAAAATTCACCAAAACTGGCAGGTGGCTTGCAAATTCCTGATACTTCCTGACCTCAGGGTGGCCCTACTTTTTAAAAATTTGTTAAGTTTTCAGAATTATCTGAAAAACGACTTGGCTTAGTTTCAAAATTATTTAATTGTTTTAATCTCTTATTTCATCTGCATCTGGAGTTCTGTTCTAAAAGGTCAAATTTAGCTTTTTTTCCACAATCTGCTTTAATACCGATTATTGACAATTACAGCAATAGTTACACACATTTTATATGATTAAACATTTGTATTTAAAATAACATTCTTGCACACATACATAAGTACTTAGACTTCTAATACTTAATAGTTGTGCTCATATTTATTCTGCATGAGTTAAAAATGTTTCTCTTCATTTTGAATCTAATAGGTACAAAATTCTGTGACACTTAAAAACCCTGCTAACACTGAAGCTCAAGTTGTTGTGCAGAAAAGGGACCTGTTTATGAAAAAGAAAAATTGCCAAAGTAACTTTGTATCATCATCTAACATGTAACAAAATGTTCCCAGTTTTTCAGAGTTAAGGTGATACTTTTCATTGTTTTGCTATTTCGCTAATTTCCAGTGAGATCAGCCTGAACATCAGAGGTTTTCCTGTGACAAAATGAATCAAGTGCAGTTGTGTCGTGTTTGTCTTCAATTTAATAATTTACATGGAGGTCAAATATTGCCCTCTGTCTTAAAATGTTTATATATTTTAGTGGTGTATATTGTAGCATCTGTTCTTCTGACTGAAATGACTGGGTAGGTTTCAGGGCTGAGAAGCATCAGTGTGTGTGATCAGAGTTGGAGATGTTCTGCACAGCAGAAGCTGAATCCAGTCCCAGCAGCGAGCCCAGGTAGGACTGCTCTCGAGGGTCTAGCATCTGGTCTGGCCTCACAGGGTGGACGATGTTGGTGGCCTGGGGGGTGAGGGTGTACTTCTCTAAGAATGCCAGATCTGTGGCGGCCTGGTAGCCAGAGTTCTGCTGCTGTCCTTGAGCCTGCATGCTCACAACACTGTGACTTTGGGAGGACAGAGACGAGGCTCCATGAGCACTCAGGTCGCCTTGCGCTCCTCCTGCCATCTGGACAGGAACTAAAGTTACTGGCACGCAGACATTCATAGTTGGAGGGGTGTTTTGGAGGGTTGACTTAGGTTCAGCACGATATGCCTTTGAGGTTTCCTCAAAAGGAATGGAGACTATTTTGTCCTCGCTGAGCGTGCTGAGGGGCTGCTCAGTAAACCGGGTGCTGTGCACATGGTCAACATGGTACTTGAGCTTGTCTTTTCTTTTAAAGGTGGCACTGCAATGGGGACAGTTAAAAGGACGAGCGTCTGAGTGAATCACCATGTGCTTTGTCAAGGTCTTCTTGATCCGAAATGTCTGGTGGCATTCAGGACATCTGTGGGGTTTCTCACCTGTCACAGCAACACAAGTGGAAATCTGAGAATCATCAATCAAATATACAACCCGCATGATCAAAATATGTTTCTATTGTACTCTCTCTTTTAAGAATAATTGATCATTTTGATGAGCCCCACCCCAGTACAGCGATCGTCCATAGATAGTTTAGCGAGAGTTACAATAGCAGCTCCTGTCCTGGAAGATGTACGCCCATAATTTCAAACTTTATAATGAATTTCGAGCGGGAAATCTGCTACAGTTATCATCACAAACTGAAAATATGTGCCGTGCTAGAACAGATAGCATAGCAACAGGAAGTAACTAAGGGGGCGGGGCTTATGAACAGTCAACTGAGAAAGTTGCCTCCTCTAGCAGCGAACTGCCGCTCTTGACTTCTTTGGGGGTTTTTTTTTACCTGAGTGAGTCCTGAAGTGCATTTCTAGACTGGACTTTCCTTTAAATTCCTTCTTGCAAACCTCACACTGATGCACAGCAGTTTTATACCTGTGAAAAAAAAAAATCCTCATTAACAGAGACAGAAACCAACAGCATTTGCCAAACTTTGAAAGGCACACTAACACTAATAATACCATTTTTTACAACGTTACCAAAAAGAGATTAAGTGTGACTGTGATATATATATGATAACATACTTCTGCCGGACTTTCTCTCCCAAATGAACACTTTTGTAGTGGACAGTCAGATGATCATGGCGCCTGAAGCATTTGCCACATTCCTCACACTGGTGTGCCTTCTCACCTGTAATAAATGTGGGTTAAGTTAAAGTAAATTCTTACTGGAAAGATTAACAGAATATCCCACTGTACTGTATTGTAATATGAAATGAAATTTAAACTGTGTGAAGAAGACAAAGTAGACCCTATCACAAAAGGAGATGCCCAAGAAAGACATACGAGATCCCACTGCTGTACCATACCAGAGTGTATTTTCTGATGTTTGGTCAGGTGATCATGGCGTATAAAGGTTTTCCCACATTCATCACACTCATAGCGCTTGTCATCGTGGTGGACTCTGAGGTGAAGCCTGTCCATGGAACAGTTTGGTCATTATAGGCAACTTCATCAATGACACAAGCCAAACAAATTGAGAGCTTGAAACATTTTACAACCCCCAACATCAAACATCTTCTTCAAATCTCACTGGAATCACCTGTAGGAGCTGCCGTGACGGAAACTTTGGCCACAGATACTACAGAGGTGAGGCTTTTCCCCACTGTGGATCCTCAAGTGCTCCCGCAAGGTCGTCCTATGAGGAAAAATCATCATCAAACATGTTTTTTTGCAGCTCTGCATGTCAAAATAAGGGTTTAGGTTTTAATAATACATAATATACACACTGCCACCGTCCAAAATATCTCGGTGCTCTTCCATATAGGAAAGTGTTTAATGACAGTTTAGGGACAGAGAGACGTACCTTTCCCTTACGGATTTGCCACAAACAAAGCAGGTCCACTTCCTTTTGCCTCCATGAGTACACTCGATGTGTCTCTTTCTGTTACCTGAGTCATTAAACTGTCGGCCACAGATCTCGCAGGGAAAAGGGCCTGAGAATGAGACAGGATGTAAACTCTTTTGTCAAATGCATAGATTGCTATAGTAATATAGTTGATGACTAATGTTAATGTATTAGCAGCTGTCATACAGCAGTGAAATCATTTTAAGGTTGTATTAACAGGTTTGCCATTTAGTAGCCTATAGGTTGGAAAGATGCAATAACATCTTTCTGAATTCTCTCTTTTAATATTTAATTGTTAGAAAGTGCTTCCATTAGTAAAAGAAAATGTTTATCTATAATTCTAAGAGTTTAAAATTCTTTTTCATGGTACATTTCTTACCTAAGTGGTACTTTTCTTGATGCTTCAGCCTGGCAAACCGTGACTTGAAGTATTCATCACAGAAGGAGCATTTAAAAGGCCGGTCTTGGGTGTGCAGGATCATGTGCTCTTGCAGATGAGGCCTACGGTTGAAGGTCTTCAGGCAAATCTGGTTCATAAAGTCAAAGGTTACAGATCTCTGTTAAATTCTTTCTTTACATTAACTGTAATATATATATTAATTACTACTATTACAAATTAATTCATCCATCATTGTACTTCATAGTTCAAATAGAACAAATAGTTCTAGCTAAATTGGTGTGATCATGTTGTAAAACAAAAACCTGTGGCCTGTACTTATGATCAACCTGCATCATCAGGAAAAATATGAAGAATATTCCAAAACTGAAGCCAATTCTTACAGCACATTTCCAGCCTTCACTCTTCCTCTTCCTCTTGGTGAGAAACTCTTGGATGTGGTCTGGATGAAACCTGGCAGGATAGTCAAGAAGATCATACAACATGACTGTAGCAGATTAAGTCATCATGGAGATCCAGAAAATAATAAGTGCTATACAAATTGATTTATTTCTTATAACTTAACTAGAACTTGGAAAATAATTTTCAGTTAGTATGAACACATAAAGTATTTTTCCAAACTTCATCACCATAGTATCTGCTGACACTTTCATCATTATACATCTATACTACACACAATAATACACACATGTTTAAGGTGTAACACTGTCGATTTTTAGCCAGAGTAGCTCTAGAAATGGCAACGTCAGTCAGTCGACCACTTTAGCCCAGCATGAAAAGCCTTTGCAAATGTGATGCCAAGAGATGATACCTGCTGACTTTTCCTCTAGCACCACCATGAGGATGACCTTTTTGTTTTTTTATGAAATGCCTCAACAACTTTTGGATGGATTGTAATCATTTTTTTGATCCTTTAACTTTCCATCTAGCACCATTATCAGGTCAAAACTTTGGTTTATGACCAAATATGTGCAAAATGAATGGCATTCTTATCAGCTTCACCTGTGGCTAATTTACTTTGTTGTTAATGTTAGCATGCTAACACAGTTCACAAAGATTGTACATGTTAAACCTGCAAAAAAATCAGCATGTTTACATTATCACTGACTTGTTAGCATTTAGCTTAAAGCGTCGCTGTGTCCAAGTACAGGCTCGCAGAGCCACAACATGGCTGCAGACTCTTGTGTATGACTGTGATTATCAGAACATGAAAAACAATCTATTAAAAAAGGATAAAAACCTGATATTTTCAAAATAATTCAGAGTGAACTGAGTGAGTTTTGAGGAAATACTGAATATAGAGTACAACTAGGGAAGGTGTTTGCTGTGGCTGTTGGCAAAGACAATAATATCATAAAAAGTTTTTTTACTTCAAGCAAGTTTTTTTACTTTCTTGGCTCTGCCAGCAATGTATTTTGTCAAGGCAACTAAAATAGCATGACAACTACTAAGACTGGCTTTTGCCAGACAGGTTGTGTGAAAACCAGATGTTTGCAACAATGACTGTCATCAACAAAGGTATTAGAGTTATCTAACCAAGACAATAATGTTACCTAACACCAAATTGTAATAAACCAGTGGAAGCTGGTTAAAACACAAACACCTAACAGTTAACCTTTGCTGAATTTAGTTCAGATGACTAACACACAAAGTAGAATGAAAGGAAAGGTAGACTGAAGGTAGACTGGATGTTTTGATACAGCTGTCTCTAACCTCCTGACATGCTTGGCCAGGGTTTTCTTGCTGGCATGGAGTTTGTTGCAGAAGGGGCATTTGTGCTCCTTCTTCTGGAAGGGAGCGTCGCTGGCATGCTTCTTCTTGTGCGCAGTCAGGTTAGACTTGGTGGAGTAGCACTGCAGACAGATGTCACACTGGAATGGTTTCTCTCCTGTGTGCACTCTGGTGTGACTCTCATACTTCCCTGAGCAATGCAAGAAAGGTTAATATATTGTATCAGTAACACATTTGAAACATTTGTATAATCACTCAATAAACATGGCAGTAAATATGACTACTAAATTATACATTGAGTGCCCATCAGGTTGAAGGAAACCTACTGTGTTTCTACATAAGACGAAACAGGAAGAGAATCTCTCGTCTACTCAACACAAACACAACCAAAGCTTTTAAAGAGACTTTCTAGCAGTGGCAACAGGTGACAGACAAAAAGGAAATTTGCTGTTTAAATGATTGGCTCTCATTCTTGTTCTTACTTTTTAAACCAGAGAAAAGGGAGAATGGGTAGAATACTAACCAGCAACAATTCGGATAATTATTTGTCATTAATCAAACAAAATTTCCAAACATTTGCTGGGTTTTTTTCTATGATATACTTGTCTGTACTGAACATCTTTGGAATTTGGACTAATTTCTGACATTTTAAAGAGCAACTTAATTACACTTAATTCACTCACTTAATTAAAAAATGTGATTTATCCATAATGAAAAATAATTGTAAGTTGCAGTCCCACACCCCAACCATGTAAAATTGAATTTATAATTCTATCAATACTAATAGTGAGTAAAACTAGATGCTCAATAGAGCCGATTGTTGTGTTTCATATCTGTGTGGAAAGGTAAGAAACTAAAAAAATTAAACAAAAAGCGCTGGCCACGGTTCTCAGTAATACAGCTACCCCTCTACAATAGCCACCACTACTAATGCTTCTACTGCAAGAGGTAACATTAATGATAACACTAATACTCTACTCTATGGTTCCCACCTGCACGGTCAAAGGTCTTGTCACATTTGGGACACTTGAGAGTCTTCTTGTTGGAGGTTTGGATGATGACTGGAGCCAGACCCTCGGGGTACACTGGACTCTGGCTGGAGCCTCCTGCTGCCGGCACATGCACTTCCACCTCTCGAACAGCCTGGAGCTCTGTCCTTTCTCCTTCTGCACTCTTGTCAGCTGTATAGACTTCAGCAATTTTCTTTTCAGCAGCCACATCCTCATTCATGTCTCTTCCCTCTCCCTCTTCATCCTCCTCATCCACTACATCATCCCCCTGAGCTGGTTTAGATGTCTTGTTTGTGTCCAGTTTGGATGTTTGGTTTTCCAAAACCACCTCTCCTGCTTCTTCTACTCCGTCTTCATCCTGCTCTCTGGGTGATACAGTCCTTTCCTCAGGAGTGTTGACAAAGTACTCTACATCATCTCTCTTATACTTAGTGGGTATTCTCCTCCTACGAGCCGACCTCCTCTGACCTGCCGCCCTCTCTTTCTCAGTTGAGATTTCCTGCTGTACATCAATGTGACTCTCAGCCAAGTGGTTCTGCACAGAGTTTTCCGACCTAAAATGGCGACTGCACAGGGTGCTCTGCTCAAATGGGCTCTGGATGTCTGTGTCACATGCTGGCGAGTCACTGGAGGTCGTTTCTACCTCAGGGGACTCTCTTATCTCAGCCTGGGCCTGGATCACACTTACAGGGTGGACGTCTCCTTCTTCACACAGCATCTTTAGTATATCCATCATGTCCAGGAATCGGGCCGCTTCAGTTAGAGCCGGTAGGTCTGTCTCTGCGACAACGCACTCAGAAGTGTACAAAAAGCCAAGCAGGTGTTGGAAAACCGAGTCCTCCACATGGTCCAGGGTCACATGAGTGGTAGCTGGGTTCTTGGACAGCTCAGCGTGGAAGTAGCTGCTCCCATGGGCCAACACCACTTTGTGGGCACTGTAGAGCTTCCCACCCACAGACACAGACACGTCGCAGAACTTCTGCCGGGTCCGGTCCTCATTCAAAAACTTGAGGAGGTTGTGACTGTGCTGCAACATTGTCAGGTGCCTGATTTGTGAGTCTGATTCTGGGACAGTTTCAGAGTTTGGTGGAGCACTGGAGCTTTGCACCGTGCCTGGCTCTGTAACACATTCACTGCTGGCACTGACCAGCCTGCTGCGTTTGGGACGCAGAGGAGTACTAGGCTTTTTCTTCATTGGTGTGTCTGATGGGCCACCATGAATCACTCCTGAAAACCAGAGTAATAGAAACAGCGTTGAGATTGAACATACATAGGTGTTCACCTCTTGATTACTGTGTTTTGATTAAAATTTGATAGGATTAACCAAGAGGCTAGACAAATGTTTTAGGATTAGAGCTGAATTATATGCACAATAATCATATTGCGATTATTTTGACGGGTAAAAATTGTAACGATGTGATGTTTGCAGCCTTAGGACGGGATATCTCTGTAGCAACACAATGCTTTATTTATAATAGTATGTTGTGACAAATTCTGCCTTTATCAAACATCTGCAGCTTATGTGATTTGAATATTGCACTTGGCCACATTGTAATTTCGCTAATCAGCCCTACTTCGCATGTAAATGTACAAGACTTTAACTACACAATGAGAGGATTGACAGCTGACACCGGTAGGACATTGGTGAAAAGTTACCACAAATGTGAAAACTGTGCATGAAAAGATGAACAGTAACGACTTATTGCTAACGTTTCTCCCATGTATTAACACGGGGCAGAAAGAATGAGCATTAACACTGCACTCAATAGACAACATAGGCCTAACAGACGACATGAAATTAAGCTAGCAACAGTGTAGATATCCTGAATTATTGACGATGGAGACGCTGCATTTGCAGATTCGCTCCCCACCTCATGGACCCCTCACATTATGACGACTCCGACGAGCGGACCCCCTCCGGGGAGAGTGTTGACAAACGACCCTTAGTGCTTCCCCGGGAATTAACGATGATATCGGGATGTCTTTTTTAAAGAAATCTTACCTGAAAGATACAGGCCTCGTTTACAAAGTACTGTACACTCCAGCTAACATAAGTGAAGTGGAAAATAAACAGAGGAATAATAATTTCCTGAATATCTGTAACGCCCAACCTCGCCATCCTACCAGAAATGTCTGACCCTGCAACAAACTGATCGCCCATTGGCTGTTTCAGCTTGTGTCTCCTACTGCTCTTGTTTAAAGATGTAAACAGAAGAAACAATAATAAACAGCGACGGAAACACGAGCTTTTGATACTTTCATTCGTATTGTAGTTCGTAGTTTGTATTGACCGCATAAAAAGTCAAACACGAATTGAACAAAGAGGAGGTGTTGACGAGCAGTATCATAGGTTCACGAGAGGGTTCACCAGACGAGGGAGTTATGGGTAATGTAGTCTGAAAGCTAATAGCATACTTCCATTAGCTGCTCTCATTAACATATCAGTCTTTTACAGCGGTATAAAACAACTAAATATGTTTACCTAAGTACTGTACTTGAATACAGTTCTGAGTAACTTGTACTTTACTTGAGTAATTTAATTTTAGGTTACTTTATAGTTTATCAGCTATATGTATCTGACAGTTAAACTTACAAGTTACTTTGCAAAATTAAGATAAAAAGTAGGAGTTACAAATGCTGCTTACATGTTAATGCATCAATAATAATAATTCAACAGTATAATATATATTAGCCCATCTTAGCTGCATACTGAGTTCTTTTAAAATATAAGTACATTTGTTGATAGTACCAACCCACATTTACTAAAGTAAGGATTTTACTTGTAACAGAGTATTTTTAAATTGTGGTATTGCTACTTGTACTTGAGTAAAACATCTGATCGCTTCTTTCACAATTTGTCTTTTACTTTACTCAAGTAGTTACACGAGCCTATCTAACATTTTAAATATATCTGCAAATACACCAGCTATATTTGCATACATATACAAATTACAATGAATGTATGCTCAAACATAATGATAAACCTGTACATTACAGTATTTAATAGTTGTTTATATTTTTAAAAAATGGATAATGGCCCCAAATTCTGAGCTATAACATAATGTGGGTGTGACTGTAAAACCTGAGCCAGAGCAAGTGTAAAACTAGTAACACTAAAAAGAGCAGTAAGGCAATTAGTATTACTAATGAGCAGATTGAATGCTCTAAGGGCTGTTCAGAGAAATAACTTGTGATTACGTCAGAGATGTGTTAATGACAGAGATGCTTCCCAGATTAGAACCACTGGCCTGAGTTTACATCCTTCAAAGACTGGGACTCAGTCCAACCAATTGCTGAGACCAAATAGTAATCAACTGTGGACACGCCCTGTAGTAGACTACATGTGTTTGTGCACGTGCACACACGTATTTGTGTTTATGCCCATGTTTCAGGGTGTATATTATGTGTAGTTAAATTGTTGGAATATTTCCCTCTACAGAAAACTGAAGCTGTAATAAACATCTGAATTACAGTTTGTTCCTCTGCTGAGGTGAGGCTCACCGTCTGTTCCAAAACTCTTCTATCCCATTGGTTTCAATTGTCAAAAGTGAATATCAAAGTTCTGTAAGTGAAAATGTTTGGAGTAAGTCAAATTAGCCTCCTGGATGAACCCCTCCCTTCACCAAGACATGAAATGTGTAAGACATTGTAAGTGCATTAGCTTAATCCCTCCTATCTGGCTCACAGCACTCCAGTGAGCACACACATGCATGGAGGAGCAGAGTTGAAGATGAAGCTGCACACACAAGTGTTCTCCACCTGTCTTTGACTTAAAATGAAGATATTGCCAAACATCTAGTAATTTGGAGGACTTGTTGAGGACAATGTTGAGATACAGCGTGCATGTGTGGATGTTATGGTTGCTTTATGCAGGTAACCTTTGGATTCAGTATAAATGTTGTAACCACAGATAAATATTATTTGCAAATGTTTAGCATATCTTTAAGCATGTTTAGTGGTATCAATAGGGCAATAATTTGTTCGTATTTCTCTTATTGTCAGTGTGTATATCATATTTGGAAATAATAGCTGAGGTGCTCAATAATTCTATAGTATAATACACAACAAACGTTTGTACAGTTGTATATTCTACATTTATTTCATATGTGTAACATTTTGTGGATGTATACATTTTTAAATTTTGCAATTATATGAGTAGTATGTTTTTAAATTCTTTTCTTTTTTGTTTTATTGTCATGTTTCTTTTGTAAGTTCATACATTGATTGTAGATTATATATATATTATAATGGATTGTTTTCATATCTGCAGGCACTTTGTCTGGTGAGGACATAAATGAATGTGAACAGCAGCCATGCCAAAATGGTGGCGAATGTGAGAGTCACAATGAAGGATTCAGATGCCTTTGCTCCCAACAGAGCCAAAATGGGCGCTTATATGGTGGGGAGACTTGCACAATTCCACTTTCAGGCTGTGATGACAAACAGTGTGAGAATGGAGGAATATGCTCTCCTTTACTTGTAAATGATCAGCACACCTACACATGCATCTGCCTTGCTGGCTTCACAGGCTCAAAATGTGAGACCCCCACAGTCTTCTCATTTGAGTCCAGAGGCTATATGTACATAGAGACACAGCTTCTCGACCCAGAGGCTCCTCTTCATGTCACATTTAGCTTCAAGACAGACAGAGAAGTCGGCACCCTCCTGCAGCGCAGAGTGGACGACCTGCTGCTCAGCATTGAGCTGTTGAATGGGCATCTCTGCCTCTGCAGCCTGAGAGGTCAAGGCTCCAGCACACTGGTTCAAGAGCTCCCAGAGTACTTGTCCAACAACAAGTGGCACACAGTGGAAGCCTCTCTAGGCGGCGTGGTCAGTCTCATCAGGTTGCTCTGCGCTGAAGGAAGCTGCACCGGAGACTCCGGCGCTGAGGTCCAGCTGCTTGAGCAAGCCTCTGCTCTCCCTGTGCCAGGAACAGTTCGTCAAAGCCTCTTCATAGGAGCAGTCGGGGGGAGCTGGGGTTTGGACAGAGCAGTGGATGAAGCAGGCTACCCACCTGCTTTTCTAGGCTGCTTCAGAGATGTGTTTGTGGACTCACATCTGGTGTTGCCTGTTATAGTGCCAGAAGATTCAGACATCCAGGCAAACATCACTGTGGGATGCAGCGACAAAGACAAGTGTGACAACAGCCCATGTCAGAACCGAGGGCGCTGCGTGAGCAAGGGCTGGAGGAGCTACATGTGTGAGTGCCACAGACCATATGAGGGAAACAACTGTGCAGAGGGTAAGCCGTGAACACACACACACACACTAGCCATTTCACATTTAAATTAAATCATATTTTTCAAAATAAGTCCAACTACTTCAGTGGTTCAGTTCTTAATTTTTCTGCCCTTTTCCACTAAGAAAAACCCACCAACTACAATAACAATATGCACACACTGTGCGCATGCAGGTGCACAGAGTTGGCTATTTTCTCACCACAAATAACAGTAACACAAAAGCAAAATTCAGGTGGAACATTTATTGTCTGTCATCGATTTCAGCACGTTCTCCTTGACACATCACACTGCTGTTGGCAGAATTACAGGAAGTCATGCTGTGAGAACAGGTACAGGTCGAGTGAAGTTCAACCTCAGTCGCTGCAGAAATCTTAATGGCTAGCTATGAAGAGAGCCACGCCCCACAGGATGTTAAAGTTAGTCAGTAGACTTTAAAGGAGCTTAGAGAGCCAGTAGAAATAGCACAGAGTGTTCAGCCATTCAGTCATGCAATTAGAAGGCATTCAGCAACACCTGGGCCAAGGATTTAAAAAACGTGGGTTTCAGGAGCCGACCTGGAATGCCTCTACTTTGACAAATCAGGGAGACTTATGGACTCACGCCATGCAGAGGCATTTTTGTTGGTTGGCATCCTCAGCAGCTTCTTCTGATGAATGAAAAGAGAGCACTCATTGTGAAAACCATGCTGGAAATACTAATCCTCAACCTCACCTTTTTGTCTAAACGTTTGATATGTCAATGAATAACTTGTGGTCCATAACACTGATGACGGCATAAGAATATTTAGATAGTATAAATATTTTGTTCACTCAAGGAAATAGTTTGACATTTTTGGAAATACTCTTTTTCACTTTGTGGTGTAGAGTTAGATGAAAAAGATCAATACTACTCTCATTCATGCCCATTAAATAGCTGCAGCCAGCACTCGGTTAGCTTAGCTTAGCAGACTGGAAAGAGGGGGGATACCATAGACTGTAAATAAAGATGAATGTAGCCTCCGTGAACTCACCGATGGGTTCCTTAAGAACAGTTTTGAAGGTCACATTGGACTGCTCCACCATTGCCATCTTGGCAGTACTAATGCAAAAATGGGCAAGAGGTGAGTCATTAACCTCATAAAGCCTTAATAAAATTTAAACAAGTGAGTTATATAAAAATTCACTCCATGTTTAGTTTCCACAAAGGGGTAAATTAACTATAGAGACCAAAATGTTTTCTGTACCAGGCTGTCAACATGTTCTGATGTAAAGTTGGGCATTTTAACATGAGACTCTACAGGGATTCACTCGCTTCTGGAGTCAGCCTCAAGTGGCCGTTTGAAGAACTACACTTTTTGGCACTTCACAATATACTGTATGTTATTTGTTTAATCTGTGCAAAAAACTAAGTTAAAAAAAAATATTTCACTGTTGGTACTGAAGGTCTCATTCACCTGACTATTTCTTGGCTCTGAGCCGTTGCCAGGCAACCAGCAGAGCCACCTGGAAGTTACTGCTCCGTGCCAAGAAATAGTACAGCACAGAATAACACATGAGATATAGCCAATTCATTCTACAGGTGCTGGTGGGCAATTTTTTTTTACCTTACTTGGACAAACCCAGGCTAGCTGTTTCCTCCTGTTTCCAGTCTTTATGCTAAGCTAAGCTAACTGACTGTTGACTGGTTTACAGTGGTATAAATCTTTTCTCCAAAATGTCATCCCATTCCGTTAAAATGTACTTTTCATCAGGTTGTGTTTAAGTTTGACTTCAAAAGCTTTCTCTCTCTGTGCCCATACAGAGTATATCACTGCAAGGTTTGGAAACAAAGATCTGGAGAGTTATGCTGTCTTCTCATTAGACGATGACGCAAGTGATACCTTGACTATAT